ACTATTGCCAAGTCGGGCACCAAGGCTTTCATGGAGGCCCTGCAGGCCGGGGCTGATATCTCCATGATTGGCCAGTTCGGTGTGGGTTTCTACTCTGCCTACCTGGTGGCAGAGAAAGTGACTGTCATCACCAAGCACAACGATGACGAGCAGTACGCCTGGGAGTCCTCAGCCGGTGGCTCCTTCACAGTCAAGGTGGATGCAAGTAAGAAGACAGAATGTTGCTTGCTTCATTGAAATACACTTTAACATAAAAGCATCTGTTCAGTGTAACTGATGTCTGTGTACTTTATTCCATTAGGTGAACCACTGGGCCGTGGTACAAAGGTGATTCTGCACCTGAAGGAAGACCAGACTGAATACCTGGAGGAGCGGAGGGTCAAAGAAATTGTGAAGAAACATTCCCAGTTCATTGGATACCCCATTACACTGTTTGTAAGTATTCCTAATGGGTTGTGACTTTTGTAGCTTCATGTAATTGTTTAAGTAGGAATCGTAAAGTGTACAAGTCTAAGAGTTGTTACCCTCTGTGTAGGTTGAGAAAGAGCGTGACAAGGAAGTGAGTGACGACGAGGCTGAAGAGGAGAAGGACAAGGAGGAGAAAGAGGAGAAGAGTGAGGAGGACAAGCCTGAGATTGAGGATGTGGGCTCCGATGAGGAGGAGGATGAGAAGAAGTCCACTGACAAGAAAAAGAAGAAGAAGATAAAGGAGAAGTACATTGATCAGGAGGAACTGAACAAGACCAAGCCCATCTGGACCCGCAACCCTGATGACATCACAACAGAGGAGTACGGCGAGTTCTATAAGAGCCTCACCAATGACTGGGAGGACCACCTGGCTGTGAAGGTGAGTCTTGATAAATCAGCTCAAAAGTGCAAAGTTTGACTCCGACTTCAGTTTTATACCCACATATGATGTTAACGATTCAAAAGAAGTCATTTACTTCTTTTCCTTTTTCTCTGCCAGCATTTCTCGGTGGAAGGACAGCTTGAGTTCAGGGCATTGCTGTTTGTGCCAAGACGTGCACCTTTTGACTTGTTTGAGAACAAGAAGAAAAAGAACAACATCAAGCTGTATGTGCGCAGAGTCTTCATCATGGATAACTGTGATGAGCTGATCCCAGAGTATCTCAGTAAGTAACCTTCGAAGTTGGTCTAAAGTAGATTGAGCCGTGAACAGTCTTTAAATACTGTTAGTGTTCCAGACTATTTGACAACTCTGATGGTTGATGAGAAGATAAATAGTATGGCCTTCTAAACAAAAGGCTTGTATTGGGAGATCTGAAAGAAGGTGAAAGTTCTCTTTTGAATAGGCCTTGATGCCCATTGTACCATTTTGAATGTGTTGTATAGTACCTTTGTGGTGACATTAACCTTAAATCTCACTAGCAGTATGCCAGTGCACCCATTATTTTAAGGTTTTGGTATTTAACATTCCTTTTTTTTTTTTCAGATTTCATCAAGGGTGTGGTGGACTCTGAAGATCTGCCCCTCAACATCTCCAGAGAGATGCTGCAGCAGAGCAAGATCTTGAAAGTCATCCGCAAGAACCTGGTGAAGAAATGCCTGGAGCTCTTCACTGAGCTGGCCGAGGACAAGGACAACTACAAAAAATACTACGAGCAATTTTCCAAGAACATAAAGGTAGGTAAAAGCTATTGTGTGATATTCCATTATGTGGAGAACAGTGTTTAAGCTAATTGAGGACTACCTCGTCTATAATGGTGAACTTAAATGGCTTGTGCCCTTAAAGAGGAAAGCTTTAATTGTTTTTCCTTTACAGCTTGGCATCCATGAGGACTCTCAGAATCGCAAGAAGCTGTCTGAGCTACTGAGGTACTACACCTCTGCCTCAGGAGATGAGATGGTCTCCCTGAAAGACTATGTCACCCGAATGAAGGACAACCAGAAACACATCTATTACATCACAGGTAGGGAAACGGGTCAACTCCAAACACCAATCAGGAGCATTTTAGTAAACATCTTTTGAGAGTAGTTTAGTTGTTGGGTTACAAAGATAGTGACTTCATTAAAAAAAAAAAAGTACGGCATCACTAAACCTACCTTGACATCTCTGCAGGAGAGTCCAAGGAGCAGGTGGCCAACTCTGCTTTTGTGGAGCGTCTGCGCAAGGCTGGCCTGGAGGTGATATACATGATCGAGCCCATTGATGAGTATTGTGTCCAGCAGCTCAAGGAGTTTGAGGGAAAGAACTTGGTGTCTGTGACCAAAGAGGGACTGGAGCTGCCTGAGGATGAAGAGGAGAAGAAGAGGCAGGAGGAGAAGAAAGCCCAGTTTGAGAACCTCTGCAAGATCATGAAGGACATTCTTGAAAAGAAGGTGGAAAAGGTGGGCATCTAATTTTGAACATATGTAGTTTCCTTGATGATTCTTGATCTAATGAGATCTTTTTCGGTAAAACTATTGAACTGCTATAATCATGCTCTTCACTGTTTTTCCAGGTTGCTGTTTCAAACAGGTTGGTCTCCTCTCCCTGCTGCATTGTCACCAGCACCTACGGCTGGACTGCCAACATGGAGAGGATCATGAAGGCCCAAGCTCTGAGGGACAACTCCACCATGGGCTACATGGCAGCTAAGAAGCACCTGGAGATCAACCCAGAGCACCCCATCATCGAGACACTCAGGCAGAAAGCGGAGGTTGACAAGAATGACAAGTCCGTGAAGGACCTGGTGATCCTGCTGTTCGAGACTGCACTGCTGTCCTCCGGCTTTTCATTGGATGATCCACAGACGCATGCAAACCGCATCTACAGGATGATCAA